GTATGTATGTGGATCTACCCCAATGTTCCCTCGTAACTACTGAACGGCTAAAGCCATTTTCATGAATAATATTTCGCTAGATTCTGCATTATTGCGATTTATTGTTTGTAATTTGATCTTCCATAACTAAAGTTATGAAAAATCAAAATAACCACGGCATGACGACGAAGTATACATTTTAAAAAACGATTTTACTACAGTAGAGTTTTTTTTTTAAGTTTTTTTATTGAATTATTCCCCCGTTGGATGATGAAATCCCTCTTTATTTGTTAATTTCCTATACGTGAATGTCTATTACTCTGCTGAAGAAATCTCAAAATCCTCAGTTTCAATTCCTAAAAACATTGAAGTGAAAAGGAAACCTTTAAAGTTAATTGACTGATTGGCTCAGAAAGACTGATTGCTGCCTCAAAGACTGCAATCAGTTTATCAGCCTTCGTAAAATAACCATATTTTCACTAAATATTTTTATCTAGCTCTGTATTCGTTTTATAATTGATTTTCAGGAGTTCCCTAATACGGGACCATATGGGAAGCACCAGCTTTGAAATAAAAAAAGAATTATGAAAATTGGTTCACTCAGTCAAAAGTTCTGAGACTCTCAAACATAACCAAAAAAAACAAACTACAGTCGAATTGCAAAAATCAATGATAAACACTGACTTATTAGAAGTAGATAAATTTCATCGCAGATTTTTACATTGAAGCTGCGGACTAGATATTATGATTTTTTACTAAAAATTGTACTCTTATGTATTGTATATTAAATAATACTTTTAAGGCTCTCATTATTTGGTCGTTCTCGGTATGACATGTTTGATTTGGACAAACCCTAAAGTTGACTTCGGGATGTCCAAAATTATATTTACTTACTATTTACTTTTAATAAAATTTCGGGTTGTTGTTTATTTCTATTAAGCCCGACCTATTATTCCCAACAGAATTTTAAGTACAGTTTAATAATCATGTCTATCAATTTTATAGTTAATAAAACGCTTTTCGCAACTTAATTAAACTTAAAAAGCAAAAAAATTAACCGTAAAGAATCTTTACACAACATCGACCCAGATGTACGAGACCGACTTTAGCTAGATTCGGTAATGAGAATTCGTATCGGCCATGTCATGTATAATACAACGGGGACAGCACGAATACCCCTAAAATACCGGCGTTGTCTAGTAATACGGTCAATTTGACCAAACCGGTCACAACGTTCGATAGATTTCGTTAGATTACTCGCGAAGATATGCTTCAGTTGAATTTCTGAAGTGTGATCCGAGCCAACGATAACAGCGTCCCTTTCAAACTTAAACAACATTGTTGGTGGTCGCGTAAGGAAATGTAGAGACCGTTAGTTTTCCCGTCATAATCGTATGATCGTAATCTTGTTAAAGTTATCGTAACAGACAAGCGTTCTAAATGTTAAATAAAATATTGTAATAATGAAAATTAAAATTAGAAACGGCCAACATTTTAATGTGATGCCTTTTTGTGGGAAAGTATTTAATAAATTAATCCGTGTTTTTTACAATATTACTATCGATAACTTAAGTCATAGTGAATGCTGGGGTAATTATGTATTACTATCATTACTACCTAATAACGTGTCGACGCCGTTAGCTTGATGTAATCTGCTATAACTGCGCGGTGTAACTATTACCTTGCGGTAAAAAAGCTTTGTTTTGCCTTCTCTAGATCAACATTGCGTAAACGAGGTGCGTGCGACACAATCGGACTGTTTTAATCGCTACGATGAACTCTGCCTGCGTTGAGCCAAGCTTTTTTTGTTTTGAGCTACATTAGGTCAAGTGACATGATCAAATGATTCTCAAAAAACACCATGATGATTAAAATAATTATCCTTTTTCTCTGGAACGCATTTGTCAAAATTGACTCCTATTTCTTAATGCAATCGAAGGTCTGTTTGCAATTTATTACACAAGCTCGAAAACTATCACCATACAAGAAGATGATACAATAAATCATGAAATGACTAAATAATGTAAAAAATACAACTAAGAAAGCGACGGTGCGTGAAAAAGGCCATCGTGGAAAAAGCTTGTTGGTAGTGATTACATTTAACAAAAGCTTGATACCGACAACAGTTCCCTGATATCTTAAACAGTTTACGATAGCGCCGTGCGAATTGTTGAGTTAGTAAATTTTTCTGCAAATGATGTTAATGAAATTATGAAAAATAAAAAAAATCCAAACAACTTCAGTTTACGTTTACAATACACAATTAAAATTCAGTTATAGCGTCACGGATGAGTTTCAATTTTCAAAAAATGAGGTTTTCAATTAGGTTTTGATTTGGCTTTTTCGTTTTCTTTTGGCATTAATTTCGGTTTAGCTGTCGTGTGGTGCCATATTAATTTCAGTAGTAGCCTATTTTTTATTTATTTTATGCGAAAAGTTGCCAAACGAGCAGATGATTCACCTGATGTTAAGTGAAAACCGCCGCCCATGGACATCTGCCACACCCGAGGGTTACTGATGCGTTGACAACCTTTTGAAAATTGGGCTCCAGCTACCTCACTCACCAGACGAAACGCGGAAGTATTTGTCATACTTCCACTTTACGCTGGTCTTTTGTGAGGTCGTGGTACTTACCCGGACGGGCCTGCCCATTCGTGCAACAGCCGAGGCTGCTGCGTGGCCCTACCACCGTATAAGCCTCGGGCTCCGGAGATACATTAGGGACATATAATGGAAATAAATATATCTAGTGTGATATAAAATAAAAATGTATAGCGAGTACGACTTTTTTTTTATTTTTATTTGAAGTCGGTTTTTGATTTTCGTTACTAAATTGTTTTACTTGTTATTGTTCGATTTAAGTTCGAATCTCATTTGTTCTTGGAGCTTTTGTACTTAAAACTTCATATTGAAATTCCACCGGGCTTGAGTTGCCCTGTCACTGAGGGCGCCTTGCCTGTACCTCGGTCATGGGTAACTAAGCCTTAGGGCTCCTGAGGGAGCCTCGGCTCGGGCTATCACGCTATTATTATTTTCTACAGTTTGCCATATATGATAGGCCATCAAGCTCTTAGCTCGCTTTGGCGGACGTTCCATGGAGTAACTAGGCTCAATGAGAGCTCCCCGAGAGGAGGCCATTGCCTGGGCTGTTACTCTGCACCCGTTTAGCATTCCGATTCGAGGGTGCCCGAGAGGGCCAGACCACGGGTCGATCTGTAGCATTAGTCTGACTAGGGGACTTTATAAAGCTATCGTTACTACCACTTCGGAAAGCGTCGGCGCTTGGAGAAGAAGTGGCGATAGAATCTCCATCAACGCTTCTATCATTAACGGGAGAAAACCTGCCAGGTACGGTAATATCTGGCGGAACCTAGTGTATGTTTGCCGCATACCGGCTATTACAGTGTGTTCTTGTGTGTTTCCGTACATAATTGCTTTATCCTGTTGATAGCGACAGTCATTTTAACGTCAGGGAAATCGAGAACGTGTCGCCGTCTAAGTCATTTGTGGAACGTGCCTAGTGGTAGGGGTCTGTAGGTGACGGCAACGTCGACTTACGGATTGGATGATACATTGGTATTCTTTTTGTTAAACAAAACTAAGTTAGCAATACTTCTTCCGTTTGTATAAAGCGTAACGTAATAGCCAATAGTTAATACAATATAAGGTGGCAAGCGAGCAGTTCACCTGATGTTAAGTGATTACCACCGCCCAAGGACGTTTATAATGCCTGGAATACGTTGCAGAAATTTAAATTCAGGCCCCGGCTATCCCACTCGTTAGATGTAACGCTAAACTATAACATGAGATTGCACTTTACAGGCCATTTTTTTGTTAACGTGGGGGAAACGCCTACGCCTACCCGCCCTCGCGGGGTAAGGACTCCGACTAAAACCGAATAAAAAACTCACGATTTTCCCCCTATGCGCATATCGGTACGGCAACGGGAACTCTTTCGCACACTTCCGCGGCCCGGCCAGCGCTGGCCGCATCAGCAGCCTCTCCTCGGGGAGCAACTCCCCCCTCCTCCAGGTAAGGCACGCTGGTACATTTAGCGCGCTTTCCCATTCGGTCCCTTTTTCACGGCCAGCGAGTCCGTTGATCATGGGAGCCAGGAAAGCCAGTACTAAGAAGCAGGAAGCATCCTAGCCCCTTCGGCGGACCTGGTATGTGGGTCCGTCGCACACCACGTTTGCGCGAACCGCAATACCAACACCCCTTTCCCCCCGCGGGACCACTACCACTGCATCGACAGTCCCGCCGAGTCGCGGAGGATAGGGAGAGTGGCCCAATGCCGGACCATACCCCCTGCCCATTTATGTGGTGCACCAGCGGTAGCTGTTGCTTGGCCCGAATACAAATTTATTTTAATTGTTGTTGCGTCCTTCGCCTTGTTGGTATTGCTAAAGGGACAGCTTTTATAGACTAATTAAGGGTTGGAGTTAAGTTCCAGTTCATATAATATGTAACATAATAATATCAAGAGAGATTTGAAAGTAAAGAAAACCAAAATTTGTTATGAACCTTACTCATTTTGTTTTATTCTTTGAATTGATTGTTCCTTCAAACACATGTGATTGGTTAAGTTTCACGAAAGTTCGTTATTTCATGGAAACCAATAACAGCTGCACATGATTCAGTTGATTGATTTTTGTTTTTGTTTCAATAAAATAGATTTATCTAATCCCTACTCGTAATTAGGTCATCCACAAAAACTGATAAACAACGGAAAACGAATGAAATTTCAGCAAGCTTTATTCAGGTTTTAAAATTTTCAGGTTTTAAAAACTTCAGGTTTTAAAAACAAAGGCAACAATATTTTAAAATCATTTAAAAAATTATAAAGCGTGTAGTTTTTACATTTAATATGGATTAGCTAATCAGAGTTCAATGTTATATTCATAAAATTTAGTATGAATAACTTTAAAAATTTAGCGGAAAAATAATATTTTTTATATTTCAATTGTTTTTTTTTTTTTGTATTTTATTTGGTAACTTAAAAAAAAACTGATAATCCTCACCGTCATCCGCTTCCATTTCATCTATCGGGGACACGGATGCAATTCGGCAAATAAGTCCGATCAGAAGTAAATTCAGACGACAGATCATGTTGTTAAATTTTTATAATACGAACTCGGCTTAAAGCTTTGCACTAATGATTTTTATAAATGCAAATACAGAAGAAGTATGTTAGAAGGTATATATACTTCGTCGCGCGTAAATTGTATCGGTGCGCGCGCGTGCGTTAGCACTGCACTCAGGTCTGTCGGCGACTGGCACAACAAACTAAGCGCGGACTTGGAAGTTAGAACAGGCTCCAAAGGCTGTGATTTTACATGGGCACGTAAACAGTTAGGACTCCGGCGCCGTAGCCGACAGGGCACAAAACTTTAGATGCAAATGAAACCTCGATAAAATATCGTTACCTCGGCAATTTTAAAAATGTAACAATAAGTAGTAGACAATCCATTAATATCAGAAACAACTTTCTCTATTAATAGATCAGGTACCTAGATGCTAATATGAATGTGCTTGAACTGTCATATTAGTAAAATTAAAAATACATCATTTGAAATGCTAAAATGAAAGCTTAATTCAAATCCTTATAATGATACACTATACTAAGTGTCATGACCTGTTTTATTAGACTACTTTAATTATTTTTTTTATATTGAAATAAAGTAAAATGGAAAAGATCCACTCAGCCATGTAGCGGCACGTTCTAGTTTCTGCGTCTGAACTCCTATGTGGTCTTGTAACGAAAGCATGGATTAGAAGATAAGCTATTGCATTTGTATACATAAAAGCGGTGATAACATCCCAACAATCACCATCACTCATTTCCTAAGAAACAATATATAATTTCGCATTATGTATCCAAACATTCCGTGCTTGTTTGTCCAAACAAAAATCTTTAATGCTAGGCTGGGTGATTTTTGTCTGTATCTACGTATACGACATCTGTTTAATAAAATATGAATGTTTCTGGTAATAACAACTTTTTTATTGATAATATCATGCATCCGATGAAATATTAAAAGTGCAAGCAGGTACACTTAATTAATTTGTAAGTTTTAAATTAAAAGTAGATCAACAGAAGTAATATTTATTTCGAAGTGTTAAGGTGTTTAGGGATTAAAACATTTCCTACACTCGGCCCTGGTGATATGGATTCTGAATTGATATTTACCAACAAAATAACACTAAAGTACGCATGCGCCACGACCCGGCCGCCCATCTTAGTTGGCACATTTCGCGCTCTCAGCCTAACGTTACCCTATGTTCAGAGAATAAAACTTCAAGAAACTTATTCAGTAACGAAGCCACTATGGGAAATCAGTTTAAGAACGTGGCCGTTATTGCCTGCCTCAAAACCTTTCTTTTCGTCTTCAACGTCGTGTTTTGGGTACGTATACAGAAATGTTTTCGTTAAAAAAGGAAATAGCGGAATAGTTAAAAAAGGACGGTGGCTTAAGCCTACTTATATAATATATAACTTTACTAACTTATTTCAAATAATTATGACCGATTAAATAAACGGAAAACGTTCACAACAGATTTTTCTTTTTTTTTTCTTTGTACTGATAACACCTACAGGTTTTATAAGACAACAATATTTACAATAGCAACAGGTATTTTCTGCCTTGCTGGGTCCAATTTTTGATGCCCCTATTACATTACCGAATAAAAAGGAAAATTTATCTTTCCTGCTATTTTAGAATTTGGAAATTGCATCACTGTGAGATTTGATGCAATACCCTTAAGAAATGAAAACATATTGGGAAGGAAACGTAAAACTACGGAAATCGTTTTCTTTTAAGAAAACATTTCCTACAGCAATATCAACCGAGTGATCACAAGAATTTCACTTGGAATATTAATGAAGTTAACAATGCCAACGCGACGTTTTCTCACTGACGATAATCTGTAGTTAACAGGTCTATTGGTACTTGTGGCGGGATTATGGGCGGAATTCGATCTGTACAAGTACATGGAATTATCGCCGGAGTTTTCTGGAACTGCGCCGCTTGTAATGATCGGAATCGCAAGTCTGATTGTTCTTATTAGTTCCATCGCCTTCTCCTGCATCATCAAGGGACAACCAGTGCTACTTTTCATAGTAAGAGAATTTCATTTTCTTTATTAAACAAATATATTAGATTATCTTTAATAATTACTTATTAAGACAACTACCTATGTAGTCCATACGAAAGCTCAAAAAATATTTTTTAGGAATTTTACACTACAAAAGTTGTACTTCGTACATTCGTACTCGTATCAGTTGAGAGAAAAACTGTAACGGTAACTTAGTTAGATATATATCATAATATGTAAAAGTGGATAGAATAATGATAATACAAAATGCCAAATCGGGCTTAAATAGTATCTACACTTAGCAGACTGGAATACATCTTTATCTCTACCACGATTTTTTTAATTATTTAATGATTCTTCTAATTTATTTCTTTGCACAGTATTTCAGGTCAGCTTCAAATATAATATTTTTTTGTACATTCAGATGTATTTTAATTTTACAGTACGGGGGTTTCCTTGCGTGCATTTTTATGATGGACGTCGGTGTGGCAGCATCAGTTGCTTGTTACCGAGACACTTTTGCCAAAGGACTTCACGATGGACTTACGCAAACTATAAATTCCTACGACCCGCACAAGGCTAATTTTGACTTCGCTCAATCTACGGTAGCTACATTTACTTAAGACACTACTCAATCTAAACAGACAAGTGTGGTGTACTAAACTATTGTACTGATAATTTTATCTCAAATTTAACATCTGTAGTAAGACATAAGTTTCACTGCAGTCAAATTAATCTTGAGTTTAATAGCTGATCCGTTGGTCATTGCAGCTGCATTGTTGTGGTGTATCTAATTACACGGACTGGATAAGATCGTCACCACTTAAGGTGATCCCGATGTCATGCTGCGTTGATCCCACTCACTGCATAACGGCGAACTACAGCGATGTCTACCAAAAGGTGAGGATCGGAAACAGAATGTGTATGAAATCTAAAATTTTAAGGTGGGACAAGGACTAAATACGTAAGAAAAAATTTCTCAGCAATTTATTTCTCAGTAGGTAATAGTTAAGTAAACACTGTGTATTGTCATGTATGGATCTGTTTTCCAGATAGTTCATCCAGTTGCTTTGATCCCAGGGAAGGGCCGCGCATTAAGGCCAAGTTGTACCCGCCTTAGTTAAGACCGATAAAACGTAATGAAGAAATGCTTGACTACTGATTTTCTATATGATGTATATTAGGGAGTACGCGGAGGTTGTATATAGTTTTGTTTCTCCCTTCCTATTCGACAATAGTCGAACAGACCTGCGTTTGGTCGAACAGTGTCCATACTCGTTGTCAAAATTAGCGTTTTAAGAATAGTTTTGCTTCTTCATGCGTAACATATAAAGGAAAGAAATAGAATAATTTTCCAACGACTAACAAGCCCGCTGATCACATTGCGAGTGTCTTCAGAGCGCATGTTATTTGTGTAAGCACCCTACGGCAATCTCAAAATGACGCCCAAGTTATTATAATAGTAGTCACATTATTACAATTGAAGAATATCTCTTAGTATAGGTTTTTTTAAGGGAAAAGTTGCCAAACGAGCAGATGGTTCACCTGATGGTAAGTGAATACCGCCGCCCATGGACATCTGCTACATCCGAGGGTTAGAGGCGTTGACAACCTTTTGAAAATTGGGCTCCGGCTACCTCACTCCCCAGACGAAACGCGAAAGTATTTGTCATACTTCCACTTTACGCTGGTCTTTTGTGAGGTCGTGGTACTTACCCGGACGGGCCTACCCATTCGTACAACCCACCCTGGCCCTACCACCTACCTGGTTTAATAATATGGTTGTTACGGAACCTTTGGCGGATGCACTGGCTAAGGCCTCGTAAAGAAATCAATCACTACTTTAAAAAAAAGGAAGAATATACTTTTTAGTCTAGCGTATACAATGTGATACCAGTTTTAATAAAAATTAATCGGGCAGCCAGTTCTCTACTCTTTTTGAAAATTTAGGGTAAACCTAATAATTAATTTGGACCAGCTTAAAGTACAACAACATCCATAGGAAAAAAATTGATAATAGTCATACGCGGTTCCAAATATATGTTCAAAGTATACTCGTCCATCGTTCGTTACCAAATTTAGTTGCATTGCCTCCTCTTTATCTCCTGCCCTTATCCCACACTAGATGAACTCCTAGGTGAAATGCATATAAAACTGGTACTGTATTTAGCAATAATCTAATTGGACCGTTTTTTAAGAATAAGAAGTATACGACGTGATTCACTGGTATGCTGCTACTATTCTTTAACGACGATACCATGTTTTCAGGGTTGTTATGACGTAATTGTTGAATATCTGGAAGCCAACATGGATATACTGATTGGAATAGCTGTTGGAACTGGAGTGCTTCCGTTAATTGGATCAATATTATCATGCCTACTTGCAAGTTACATCAAAAAATCAAAATACGACGTCATGAATTGAACGTAATGGACCTCCAGCCACAACTTTTGAATCATAAATAACAACTTCTTCTTTAGACTGAATAGTTATACTTCACTATATACTAATAAAGAAATACTTTACTGTAGAAAAAGTTAAGGATGATATTCATCACTTGTCACTTCAATTTTTAAATGTTGCATCTATTAATCAAATCTATAAATATGCATATTGTATTCATTATTCTAAAAATCTATATATTGATGTTAATAAATTATGAGCATTGAGATGTTTTTTTACATATTCAATAATTACTTCAACTGTGACATGGACAAATTTCAAAATATATTAACTAAAAATAACTGCATAAACATTAATCTAAACTTACACAACGAAAAATTTTCTTCGGCAAATACTTCATGTTTTTACTCAGTCAAAGTCAAAATATCTTTATTCATTATAGGCTTAACTTAAGCTCTTATTGAACGTCAAAAAAAACTAGCACCGGTTCACCAAACTAGACATGAACAGAGAAGAACCGGTGAGAAACTCTGCGGTCTTGTTCTCTATTTTGTTTTTTTTGTGATGCAACTATACAAAGCCAAGGGTTCTTGCAAGTGCAGAGCAAGAGTCATTTTCACACATCCTTGTCCCCAATGTATTCTTGGACATTGTAATAGGCCTTCGCCATTAGGGTAGCTTTTACAACTTGTTTATAAGTAGGTACTTAGCTGTTTGTGGATGTCATCTATTTTAATATAAAAGTTAATGCATCTACCAAGAAACGAGTTTCTGGTTTTAGCCAGTCTAAACCTCGGTACTTCCAGTGTCCGCGGCCCCGTATCGATGTGGAACGTTTTTGTAAATGGGTGGATATTATTACGTTCATACATGATGTGCTCGAGTATGTAAAGCGACGGGAGGGGTAAACGTTTATTTGCTTAAACGGATGCCGAGTCACTCACGTGGACCCAAGCCATAGACAGCCCGTATAGCCTGCTTTTGTAATACAAATATTGTGTCTAAACCGGATGCGGAACCCCAAAATAAGACTCCATAAGACATTATGCTGTGAAAATAAGCATAATAAAGCAATTTAGCTATTTCCTCGTTAGTTTGCTGCCTGATCTTGCGTATGGCGAAAACGGCAGCGCTCAATTTCTTAGCTAACTTATCTTAATGGGGATTTCATGTAGACACATGAAATCCCCATTGCAACTTGGAGTCACTGCATATTCCAAGAAATGCTGTTAAATCCTCAAGAGGTAAGATTTTCTTTTTGACACAACAAAGTTGTATAATACATCTAATACATTTTGTTTTAGTGGAGTTCAAAAGTTAATTATTAGTATCAAACCAGCCTGACACTACATCTAATATTTCATTTGGTTGTTCTAGTGTATCATCTTTCCTTTTAACTCTAAACAATAGTGAAGTGTATATCCGCAAACGAAACGATTTGAAACCTTTTTTCCACTATATATGGCAAATCATTAATATAAACTTAAAAACAGAAATGGGCTTAGGATCGATCCTTGAGGAACGCCGATTGACCCCGTTGACGGTATACCATTTATGATTACATTTTGTTCCCTGTCTGTAAGATACGAGGAAACAAAGTCAATGGCACGTTTGCGAATACCATAATATTCTAATTTTCTGAAAAAAATTGTATGATCTTCACAGTCGGAAGGTCACAAAACATACCAATGGTGTCATGGAAGGTTTCCCAGGACAGAATATGTGAAACTAATTTGCATCAGTTTTAGATCTACCTTTCGTAAATCCAAATTGGTGCTGATTTAAAATTTTATATTTATTAAAATTAACTATCATTTGATCCAGCATTACTTTCTCAAAAACTTGGCTTAAGGCTGGCAATATAGAGATGGGACGATAATTAGAGCGGTATTATCTCTTGAATTTTTTTTATATACTGGCGCAACTTTAGTATATTTCATTAACTTTGGGAATTTGCAATTATCTAAACATGTATTAAATATTAGGGCTAATTTGCAAGCAATGTCATAGATTATAAAATCAATTGCCCATATTGATAAGCCCCTTGTTGGTCTTGTTTTATTATATAAGCACGGGAGCTCTTTTCCTCGACGTCGCAAAAGTATTCGACAAGGTCTGGCACAACGGCTTGCTTTACAAGCTGTTCGCAATCAACGTAGATATGCACGATAGGCTCGTGCGCGCCATCCAGGCCTTCCTGTCACTTTTCGATACGAGTTGAGGGCACCGTCTCTACATGCCGCCGACTCACGGCTGGCGTTCCACAAGGCTCCTGTCTCTCGCTGTTGCGCTTTTTTTGCTCTACACGAGCGACATACCAAAAGACCCGCACGTGAATCTCGCGCTTTTCGCGGATGACAAGGCGCTTTATACAGATAAAAATCTTAATCAACTCACTACTCGTCTCCAAAGCGCCGCCGACCGCCTCGGCGATTGGTTTCGCAAATGGACAATAGAAGTAAAGCCGGAAAAGAGTTTGGCAATTCAATTCACACGAAGTACTTACCAGTCACATCTTTATAAAGGCCTTCGCCAATGCTGAAAGCTAGGACAAATATTTCACAATGTCGACCTGCACAGTGACTGTAGACTCCCGACGATTCGCGAACATTTTAAAGATCTTACCAAACGGTTCTTCGACAGAGCCGAACATTATCCCAACAAAGTCATCAACACTATTATTATCCCAAACAAAGATAAGCGCAGGAAAATACCAACCTGACACTAACGCAAACGTCCATAAGCGTTGCCCACGCAACGTGCTCATCGACCCGGTCGAGGAAGGGGACTTAAGTACGTCGGACCCACCGTCTGGGTCCCGCCAAATAACACTACACACAGTTAGTGCATCAACAAACACCATAGTACATCCTGGCCTTCGAGCCCGGCGAAACCAACACAACGCGTACACTAGATACACCCGCGTTCCAGGGCGGTTCTCACCGCCCCAAGCAACCGACTAACCAAGCACAGTCAACGGCCATCGGAGTCACGGTCCGCGTTCGATGAAGCTTTAATAATAGTCTAAGGACTGAAAGTGTAACATCAATTATACAAAACAAATACAAAAGGTCTAGTTTTCTTTTTATTTAAATTTATAAAGGTTTAAAAAATTTAATTCGGACCTAGAATGACTGTCTTACCAAAAATAATCGTTAACAAATGTTCTTGAATACGGTAAGTAGCGGTCCAACTTGCAACGTTTCCATGGGCATCAGTTATATTGTCCGTCGTGGGGAATAGGAATAGCGGTGTCCCCTGTCAATGCTCCCATGAACGTGAGCGCGGCCTGGATGTGTAATCCGTGTACGTGGTTTCATCAAAACTTGACTCGTGGGATTGTGTCGCATGTTGTGAAGAAGACGCTGCTTAGTTGCACTTTTCTATGGGAACGGATATATAACATGTGTATTCCTTTGTTTTCCTCCGTCGAAGAACGTGACTGAATGGGAAAAGCTAGGCAAATTACTCGAATCCAAAGATCTCTACATCTTGATAGAATCCAAGATAAAAGTAAGTCACCCGAGACTGCCTTAGTGGCAATTTCCGATCTTCAATATCTCTCATCCAAAATGTTATAGGACTCTTCAGAATGGAACGTGATAGCGAATGTTCGCCGCTTTGAAATTTATTTATTTATTAAGCGCAGTTACAAAATAGAAATTATTACCAACAACCGAACACAACATTCCATTTTGAATATGTTATTTTAATAATGTATGTATTGAATAATACTTACTAATTTACTTATAAGAAAGAAGCAAACCAATATTTTCAGAGGACTTAATAGTTTTTAAAAATAAGTTTTGATGAAATATTTCGATGTCTCTACCTAAAACATTATATTGTCTACATATTCGAACTGAGGGACTGTTAAGAGATACATTATTACGGTTTAGCGGTATATGGAAAAGATGCTGTGATGCGAAGATGCTGGCGATGGCACAGGACGTCAGAATCAAGAGTGTGATTAACTATTTTATGTAATGTCAAGAGGTCACTAAGTTGTTAGGTCATTAATATAGCATGATCAACGTGATCAACTATACAAACTCTATACAAACTCCAACGTCAGTACAAGAGCGGCAAGAGAATATAGGAGTGACAGAGCTGGAGATGAGCAGAGCGGTTGGCCGATTAAGAGCTCGAAACACTTGATGGAATACCGGGTAGGGCTTGGTTGCCGAGCCTATCCATATTGGGTGAAAGGTTAAGGCAATTGGCTTGGGGAACGTGGAGTTGTATAGACAGCTGGTCTATGCAACTCCACGTTCCCCAAGCCCTGGAAGCAGGCTAAATTGGTCCTCTTGAAGAAGGAAGGTAGAGCTGCAAATTCTCCCTCTTCGTACCGCCCGATTTGTCTGTTGGACGAAGTTGGCAAGATTTTTGAAAGAGTCATTGCCTCCCGCCTCAATGAATATCTTTCGCAAGTCGGTCCCGATATCTCCGAAAACCAGTTTGGCTTCCGAAAGAAGCGTTCAACTATAGACGCCATCATGCGCGTTCGCTTCTTATCGGACCAAGCTGTGTCCCAGGGTAGAATGGCGTTGGCTATTAGTCTTGATATCGTAAACGCTTTCAACTCTCTGCCTTGGGGCGCTATTCTGGAAGAGTTAGCGACGCACAATGTGCCACAATACTCCAAAGTATTGTCGCAGATTATTTACACGACAGACTGCTGCCCAATCTTGGGGGCCAAAGAGAGGAAGTGCGCCGCCTCTATGCAGGAGTCGTTCGATCCGTGGCTCTGTATGGTGCACCAGTTTGGGCTCAAAGGCTGGCCATTAGACGCTGTAGAAAAAAAATTTACAGCGTCCAGCGGAGGATAGCCATACGGATCGTTCGAGGATATCGCACGATATCATTCGAGGCGGCGACACTCCTGGCTCGCTTTCCACCTTTGGACATATTGGCGAACATGGATGCATGTTTTTACAACCAGATTCGAGTCATCCGTCAAAGTGGTCGTAGCTAGTCAGTAGAGGTGCTCGAGGCTGTTAAACGGCAAGAACGACTTAGCGCTCTTCGGACGTGGCGTGCACGGCTTTGTAAAGAGCAATATGCACGCAAACGCGTCAGAAGGGCAATTTTGCCGGTCTTTGAAGCCTGGATGCAGCGACGGTGGGGAAGACTAACTTACAGACTTACAGAGATATACACAGGCTGCTTCGGTGATTATCTGTGTAGGATTGGACGAGAAGCGACGGCGATGTGCTACCACTGTGGTGGGGTGGACCAAGATTCCGCAGACCATACGCTTGCGATATGCCCTGCATGGGAGCAGGAGAGGCGGATTCTGGAGAACCATATTGGACAGAGCCTTTCCCTGGCAGCAGTTATTTCGGCAATGCTGTCCGGGAACCCAAAATGGAGCGCTGTAGCCTCCTTTTGCGAGACTGTTATGGTCCAAAAGGAGGCTGTTGAACGTGATCGCAAAAGAAGTGATCCCACCCGCCGGAGACGACGGCAGGGAGTGGGTGCTCCCAGCCATGGCACCCAAAGATAGCTCCGTTCACTGAACGGGTTCTTGGGGCTGCAGGCGATCAAGATCCCCATCTTCGCGCACGTACTTGTGGGAGCGAGTATATCCCCGAACCTGGGCAACTTAGTAAGTCAGAGGGGCCGCGGTTGCGTTCCTTTAGGAGATCCCGTGCCCCCTCATCAAGACTAAAGATGAGTAACGTGGGGTTTTAGTCGGTAGGAATCCGACATAACCTGTCTTCCCTCTCTTGGTAGACAGGTATCCTATGCAGGATTTCCCCACGAAAAAAAAAGATATCTATCATATGTAGATAAAAAAATGATAATATTAAAAGCCAAATTGGGCTAAACTATTACATACAACAATAAGACATAAGTTTCATTAAAGACATGCGGATTTGGTTTTGAGATTTTTAATAATATCTTTGACCTCTTCGGAGGTCAATGAGGTTAAAGGTTCGCCTACGGGTAATAACACAGCCCTAATTTCGATTACGCGAACCACCTCCGTTAGGCTGGCTGTATCGATGTGTTCGCGCGAATGTACGCCACATTGCTGCTCTAGGTTGTCGGCAAGGCATTCCGCTTTTTCGGAGTCATCTAAGGCTAGTGAAACGCTATTAGGTATTTCTAATAGCGGTAGCGATTCGGGGTCAAGTATGAAGTTCCGGGACCGGGACCGGCGTAAAGTAGAAGTGTTACACTTCTGCGTTTCGTCTGGTGAGTGAGGTAGCCGGGGCCCATTTTATTAAAAGGTGGCAACGCATCTACAACCCTACGGGTGTTGCAAATGTGCATAGGCGGCGATTATCACTTAACATCAGGTGAACTGACAGCTCGTTTGCCACTTTGACACATAAACAAAAAAAACGGCACAACGCGACGGGGACTTCTAACGTCGCAGAGGGCGACAGGCTCACGGGCGCAGAGGGCTTACGGGGGATGGCGACGACGCGATTGCCGGTGTAGCCGGGCTGTCGCTAGCTTATTCCCCGGCTATTCGTTGTTCGGCCGCGAACGAGAGAAAGTTTTCCCATATGTCGGGACAATGTTAGCAGACGAACTCCTCAAAGAGGGCCCATCTCGTCGTTTGTGCCTTTGGGGCTTAAGCCCCACCGGGTGTGGTGTACCCGTGCCGAGACGGCTACGGATCCACAGTTAAAAATTTTATATTTATTAAAATGAACTATCATTTGATCCAGCATTATGTTCTTAAAACCTTTGCTTAAAGCTGGCAACATAGAGATGGGACAATAATTAGAGGTATCATCTCTTGAACCTGATTATATACTGGCACAACACTAGTATATTTGATTAACTTTGGGAATTTTCTAAACATGTATTAAATATTTAGGCTAATTTGCAAGCAATGTCATAGATTATAAGATCAATTGCCTATATTGATAAGCCCCATAGGTCATGTTTTCTTTTTAATTATAATAAATTTTTAAGTTTTAATAATATAATTTGGACCTATGTGGAAAAACTTAAAATCTGGAATAGAAATACTATTAACATATTTATGCAGATATGTTACTGCCTCTGTGGAACAGTGTTGCAAATGCCTAGTAATTTCACAAGGAATATTTGTGAAAACATTAAGAAATTCATTTGCCATTATATTTTCTTTAAGAACATTGCCATTAACATTTAATGTAAAACCTGCCTTTTTCAATGTCAGTGACAACCAATCATAATGAAAGTACATGATTATAACAAAATATTTTATTAACAGTTACACATTACAGAACACTTCATTTGTCAATAATTTTAAAGCCCTTGGTATGTGGTAGGACCATGTTATGGTGTTCACTGTTCCACAAATGGGCAAGTCCGTCCAGGTAAGTAACACAACCTCACAGAAGACTGGTGTAAAGTAGAAGAGTTACACTTATGCGTTTCATCTGGTGAGTGAGGTGCCCACTTTATTTAAAGGTGGCAACCCTACGGGTGTTGCAAATATGCATGGGCGGCGGTAATCACTTAACAACATGTGAAACAGCTTATTTACCACTTTTTCACACAAAAAGAAACAAAGAGCTTATCTGGATATATAGTAAACTAAATATAACCTTCAGTCGCTGTCTGAACTATTCTTATCTTCTTTCGTTTCAACTGGAACTTCCTGTTTGTAATGTCTGTATTCCGGTTTCAACTCCCACATATTTTTGTGTGGATTTTTTAAATTGTAATTGCATACTTCTTTTAAAATTTCCTTCAAATATACTATGGGCTGCTTAGTAATCTATAAGAAAAAATTTAATTTAATGTAATAAATGAACCTACCACGATTTCTCTACACAACACAGGTTGACTGGGAGAGAATGCCAAAAGGCATAAATAAGAAAGAAATTAACCTTTCATTAGATAATAATAATTGAATTGATTAACAAAATGATGTTGAATAATTTTTCTACACATTTTAAAATGTCTTTGTTAAAAATTATTACTTTTTGCAAATCCTTGATATTGTAATACTGATGTTTCTCGAATGCAGCAAAAAGCATATTGAGGACAGCATCCTTGTCATCACGGGCTTTCTTGCCTTCTGCTTTCTTTCTCTCTTGATATTCAATCTGAAAATGAATTTAGGTTTATGTTTAATGGAAATATAGTATTCAAAAAAATGGAATACAATTGAGTATAAAATATGTGTGTTTACTTGCTTAAATATTATCTTGCATTAGTTTCAAACACAAGCCAAAGTGACCTGCATCATATATCTATTATCTAAAAAAAATTATCTAAAAAAATCCAATATAATCTTACATTATGCTTATGATCTGATACGGGTTTAAAGTTCTGCACTATGCGGTCTAATTGTTGGACTTGCCGTTGCGGCATAGAAGCCTTTCGTATGGACTCTGATTTTAGCTTATAATATGTATTATCAGCATAGGGCCTACATTCCAACTTTTGCACTATTCTACCTTCCATATAAAGCTTCTCTGATTCTGGTACAACAGCATCTGTACTTGAGGCTAAAATAGAAATAAATGCTAAAATGTGAATCTTATTCTAAATTTGTCTGTTTATATTATTTTTTTAATTTTACAGTTAAAAACCGGACTTACGAATGACATGGGAGAAAACACCTAAAGACTGCCGAGTCACATTGGACACGTCTAGGCGATGCTCTTTTGGTATATTTTGTTCACCAGGATCTTTTAAGCATAGAACTGCTTCCGAAAGTGAAAGTTGTACTTGTGCTTTCTGTCCTGGTACTCGAGATATTTTTAATTTTCCTACTTCAATGTTACCTGGTGCCTTTTCCCATTTATTGGCTATGTATTTAGGAACTTTTACTAGCCATACTCCTCTCCCCGTGTTAGACAAATCTAATTCGCGATCAACATGTGGAAGAGCATTAATATTACTCATTATATATTATTTATGCTTTACCAGTACTATAAAGAATTTAAATATTTACTAATAATTAGTTTCACTTTACATAGCACAGGCTAAGAAAACTTTTTACTCATACAAATATCAATGTATAACTCGGTAATCGGTCTTTGAATCGAATTTGATTTTGAATAATGATTAAAAGTTAAGTTAAAGTTTACAATAGTGTTGCATATCGATAGTCTGCTATCGATAGACAATTGATTATGTACCGATAGTTAAGGTAAAAGCAATAGTACTACCGGTAGTCTATCGATATTATTGTCACGTGTCAATACTGTCGATACTGCCGATAGGATCGATGGATCTCCAAGTGCCAATATTATTGATAACAGCAATACTATCGATAGTAATGCATACGATAATATCGATGGAATCGATAGCATTGGAATTGGCATTAATTTTTGACAAAAACTATCGATAATATCGATGATTTTGTACTATCAATAGCCTTTTACTGGAATTCATTGCATAGAAGACAGTTTATTACAAAGAGTAAAGTAATCTATGGTTTATTAGATGTGAAATTTGTGAAAATCGAGCAAATCGTTCGAATTGAAAAAAGGATGTTTATGGCAAGATTTCCCTTAGATGAAGCCCGGTAATCACTTAAATATGATATGCCATATGTATGCCATTTATCTCATTTAAACTGTGTGATAGTGATGTACTGAAACTGTAATATCCACATATCGATAACTACGTTAATGTTTATCATTGAAAAAAATAAGTATGTTGTGTGAAAGAGTAGGGGCACAAAGTTTTACATATTTGAATGGTGTGCCTACATGAGCAAGGATCGGAATAGGTGAATTTTGCAGGAAATTTGAAACATAATCTCTATGATATTGATACGTCATATTATAATTAATTTTGTGCGCTGAATATGTAAGAAAACTAAAATAATTTTTAGATTTTGATTCTATTTTTATGTTTCAATTTTTTCCAGACTCGTGTACAGCAAGACAACACTGTTGGCTGAAAAATCGAGAGACAAAAAAGAAATTTCATTTAAGTAATAAAATTTTATTTGAATAATAACAGAACCGCTTTTTATCTTATTTCAGGTCCGCATTTAAGTCCAATCTTGTATTAGTACCGAATATCATTAGTATCAACTAATATCTAATAATCAACATTAGACATAAATACGGACTCGATACTTACCTAAAATTAATAAAAAATATTAAGTGGAAACCTCGGTTTCTACGGTTGCTGTTATTCCGGTGAAAGTCACCGGAATAACAGCAAACTACACTTAAAAAAAATAAAAACATGTTTATTGCAATAATCTTATTACATAATCTGTACTAATTGTATTTCTCAGTTGCTGTCACTGTCAAGAGTGTCAAGTAACAGTTCTCATATTCTCATTTCTGTTTTCACTTTTCTGATTTCACATTCACAATTGTAAAATTAAAGATCGGTTCGTTTGGCATTTGACGAATATTGAAAGAAAGTCATCAGTGTATTATGTTTTGATTGTTACTGCAGCGATTAATTAGTCCTTTTTGCTGAGAGTAAAATAATTGCTTATGAATATGTAATTTTGATGCCATATCAAAATCCGTATCCCTAATAAATGCCAAGTAATAGTTATGAATAAAGATGTTTGGCTATAGCAAAGAAGCAGTTAGAGTGAAAGTCAAGGTTCGTATTGTACTTCGACCATTTATAAACATTGAAGCTTACCGAAATCGTTTAAATGAAGTCCTTAAATTTTGATGAAGGTTTGTGGTCTATAAGTGTATGTTTAATATTGAGTTCATTAGTAGTCTATAACGTCGGAAATTTCGTAATTCTACAGACACTTTATGGTCAACTTTTTTTGTTAATAATATTATAATTTATTAATAATATAATTTATTTTATGCCACAGAAATGTGAGGGGAAACTGCAGCCAGAATTAAGAAAGTTTTCAGTGGATCCACAAATTACTTCACTAGAGGTCTTACAAAGTATTTTGATTAAGGCTTTTGATATTAAATCTGATTTCACACTATCCTTTAGAACTCTAGATGATTATGGCCAAGAGATTTATTTGCCACTTCTTTCTGATTGGGATCTTGATGCTGCTTTTCTCAAGTAAATACAAATATGCTTTATAATTGCTTTCTCTATTGATACTGTAAAGTAAAGAATTTGTCCCCACAACAGTGCAAGGGTCTGTTTTGGAAAGAGGGAGAGGAAGAGATTGATAGACTTCACAAATATTTCAAATATTTTTGTATGCTATTTTATGACATTCACCTTTTCTCACTGTGTTACTTCATCAGCACTTAAAATTGGAATCAGCAATATCATTTATTCTTCATAAGGATTCAAACTCTTCAACTAGCTTGATTATGCTAAATTAAAGAATGAATGATGACCTTGTCAACAAACGCTTATTATACAATATTAATATTTTTAATCAGCATTAATATACTTACTATTATGAAAACAAATTATATTTTAAGTAATAATTAATCTGGATAATAACCAAAATGTGGGCATAACAGGGCTCATAATATAGCTTTGAATCAGAAATCGGAACCATGTGTCCAACTGAGAGTAGACATGAAACCATTTGCTGAAGCATCAGAGGACTGGGAACCCCCTAATATCAATCCCACTTCAACATTGATCCCTCCTACCAAAGAACTACCTACTATTTGTCCAGCACCACAACAAATTGAAAAACAGGAATCTCAAACTGGTTTCCAAGGATTAATAATGAATCAGGTATGTAAAAATTTCATAAACAAATTAAATTAATGAAATGATATTAACTATTACCTAATAAAGCTATATCCTGGTTTTTGAAACACTGATCATTGTAAAAGTTAACTTGGCTGTCAGATGGTTTTTCAAATGTTATTAAAGTTGCCCAAAGGATGGTTACTCTTTTAATTGACCAGAATGATCTTCTTAATGGTCAGAATGATCAATTCAAAAAGTTTAATCATCCTTTTGGCAACTCAAATGACATGTGAAAAGCCATTTGACAGCTGATTAGTTGAATTCTGCAATGATCAGTGTTTCAAAAACCGGGTATATGTAGAATCAAAGTAAACAAATTGCTAAAATAAGATTAATTTATTGTAAACCAAAATATTCATGTTCTTGTGTAGTTCATTTGCTGATAACATATGTACATAACATATGTATCATAATTTTTGATTTTGAATTTTTGATATATTTTGATATAGGAAGGATTGATTATTATATTTTTGATGGTAGGTGGAACGAACATTTAATATGGTGTCAAGGGCACTTAATTTGTATGATGATCCTAACACCCCGCCACGGCCACCACTCAATGATATAGAATTCAGAGCTTTTCTTGATGCAGTAGGCCAAATCAATAATACTTCTAAGTTAAGGGAAGTTATTTACTGTGGTGGAATTGAGCCTAGCTTAAGGTAAGTGAGATGCTAAAGATAAATACTATAAGTTATACGCCAGGGGGGTACCAGCACTACTGGTTTTGGTGATTCGCTCACTGGGCATCCGCACTTAGAAAGCCCTTTGCCATCAGGACGTGAGCGCACAGACTGCCCCACATTCTGGAGAGGGTGGCATAAATCCACTCTTCATTACCATGGTAAACCCTGCCACACTCTCAGTGGATTTCTGCAATGTTAGGGTACTTCACTTCAACCTTAATGCTGTCCACTACCACCTAAAAATGCCAAAGCCGTCCTTGATATGCTGAAATCAAGATATCTTCTCTGGCTGACGCATCCTATCTTTCTTACCCGAGGTGTAACTCCATTGTGCCCCGAGGCATAGTTTGTGTGAATGTCAGAGAGGATATCTGTCTCGTATCAGCCTTTAAGGTATGGACCTGTCCATCATATGGCTGCGTGTAGATAGCAATGATCATCCTCGCGTGTATTCGTGCCTATATAGCCCATAGCAGTAATACCGTAACAGATCGACTGATCAACTACGTCCAAATGAGTATAGATTACGGGCTCCAATAGCTCCCAACCGCAGAAGTCTTGATGATTTTAGCACCCATCACGTCAACTGGCTCGGCTCACATACTACTGATCAAGCGGGGAGGTTTGTACACGTCTTTACCATTGCGAAAGATTTGACATGTGGTCACTATGCCTACGCGAATCCAGACTACTATCAGGTTTCAAAAGTTCAAGGAAACTTATGTATTTCCATCTTTTCCATCTCTGCACAGGGCAGATGACTCGTTGGCACACACCGCTGAAGAGAAAGCCCGAACATCCCGTGGTATGAGCATGCAATGCCAGTAATTTGGTTACTGTGGAGCAGAGTTCATGAACCACTTTTCTCTTTATACATCTAAACGTCGATCGCGCCAGACGGAATTCCTTCTATTGTGTTAAGGACGTGTGCTCCAAAGTTGATACCGGTTTTAACGCATCTTGTTCGGCATTATTACTCCCTAGATAATGTCCGAAATTTTTGAGGATGGCTTTAGTGCACCATATCCCAAAAAAAGGTGATCGCTTGGATCCGTCGAACTATAAGGCCTCTTCACCTCTTTGTTCTATAAAATAATGGAGTCCATTATTGGCCGCCAGTTCCTTGGGTACCTTGAGGAGCACGAGCTCAATAGCGATAGTCAATAGCTGGTGATATTTTAGTGTACCTAACTCTCAATTTGTATTCGATCGATCTGGATCGATTTGGAGCCTTCGATCGGGTTTGGCAAAAAGCACTGCTATCTAAGATCACTTCTTGTTGCTTCTTAAGAGAAATTGTGCGACTGGATCACTAGTTTTCTACTCATTGGAGCATCAAGTTCGTTGTTGACGGTGCTTGTTCTGAAAGTAAATTCGTGACCGCTAGTCTCCCAAAGTTGTCCTGTAAACCAACGTAGGGGTTTGTTCCGTCTACATGTCAATGATTTGTTGCATATTTACGACATTCATTGCTATGCGTTGTGGCGTATATAATAGCGCGGTATATAAGGCGTAACCCGTAGTGTCATCCACACTATGTGTGACGCCTATACCAGTCGGGGAAATATTTGTCAGGAATTTGTTGCAGGGTGTAATAATAAAATTTTGTCTGAACCTGAAGTTTTGTTGTGCAAAATCTCGGATTGGTGGCGACTAAATCTAGTCCAATTGAACCCTATGAAGACATAGTTTTTTTACTGCGTAGAGGAAACCCTTCGTCGTTTCTTCCTCTTTTGAAGGGCACTCACGTTGCTGCCACAGATTGGATCGGAATTCATAGGTTGAAATATGTAGAAAAATTCAGCGGTTGACATATCGAGCGACGTTCAACTTCGCGGCCATGCCATTTGGAAGGGATAACGAAGCCGGCTTCCTCTCTGCCGGCCTGTCGCTTAGAGCTCTATAAAGCACAGATTCGGCCGCACATGGCCTACTATTCTCAGCTCTGGACTACACTATAATACCAGCTTCTTCTATTTGACCGCATCCAACAAATAGCTGCTCGAATCGCCGACGATCAGCTCCTATCAGATAGCCTCGACTCTTTGGCCTAACGATAAGATGTAGCGTTATCACATTGATCGGATTAATACTTGCTGCTGAATTTCATCATCGTTCAGCTCGTCAAATTGCCATTTACCATCGGATTACAATTTATCGGATGAATAACTATTTCTTATTCATTCGATTATAAGACTAATAGCAACGCCTGTTACCGGATGAACAAAATATAAAATATTGTCTGTTTACCTTGTAATTATACTCAAAGTAATGCTTGCATCGTTTTAAAATATTTATTATAAACAAGCGACCCGCCCCGGCTTCGCAGGGGTGCCATGGTGCCATTATACATATAAACCTTCCACTTGTATCACTTTATCTAGTAAAAAATTATTACAAAATGTGTAATAGTTATACGATACTAACGTCACTCAATTGTATTGCCTTCCCGGAACCCCTACTCCACTAACACTTAAACTTTATGTTATGGTATTGAAGTTCAAATTGACTAAGTACTTAGTTATTACTAATCTTTTTTATGGGAATATAGAAAAGTGTTGTTTTTAGATTTTTTAAAACAATTTTTTTAATTTTTCTCCGTTAGAACAATCCTCGTACTTCAAGGAATATTATAAAATAAGAATTAGCGAAATCGGTTCAGCTGTTTTCGAGATTTGAGCTTGGCAACAAATTCAGCGATTCATTTTTATATATAGAGATAATCAGATTATTGTTTCGCTACGCTGTTTGTTTATTTATTTTTTTTTTCGTGTCGGTTTGGACTTTGGAATAAAAAATATAATAAAAGTCTTGTTCATTAGTGTTGTGAACAAGTAGAATATAATCTAAAAAACCCGACTGCGTTTCTGTGTAATTTTTTATTTTGATATATCAATTGTCACTCACAGTAAATAAGAATTTAACTACACCTCTCAAACTAAAATCCATCAAGCCGTTCAGGCTGCAGAGCGTGCCAAACAATTATACATACATACATACTCTCGAAAAACATAACCCTCCTTCTGGCGCAATCGAGTAAAAATGTCAAACCATCCATCGCCTAGTGTTTGAGTTTTGTGGACACAATCATATGGAATAAAAAAAATTGTTTAGAAATGAAACATTGTGATTTGATTCAGGTCACTGCCTAACTAAAAGAAACCCACAATTTTTTTAGGAAAGTTGTATGGAAGCATATATTGAATGTATATCCAGATGGCATGACTGGAAAAGAACGAATGGATTACATTAAAAGGAAAGCCAATGAATATTATACTCTCCGGGCTCGTTGGAAAGATTGCATTCAAAAGGGAAAGGTAAAGTATTATTTTATGAATACATAATCTCCGCTTATTTTGCTAAGCACTCTTTATCTATAAGTGTTGAATCGGAATCACTCCTCACAGTTGCCTGGATTTAATACTAGTCTGTGTTAGTATTGTCAGGGGAAGTAATTTAGAATTGTTGTGAACAGTACTCTGTCTAGCAATTTCGTTTTTTTTCCATACACATAAATAACATTAAGATATGCATTAAAACGATCTTACAATTATATTTTAGGTTAGTTCTGATCTAGCATATGTTACAAGCATGGTCAGAAAAGACGTTTTACGAACTGACCGTCATCACAATTTCTACGCCGGTAGTGACGACAACCAAAACATCGCATCGCTTTTCAACATTTTAACAACGTAAGTTTTAATATGCGTAACATTTAAATAAGTGGGCGTTCAACTATTACGTAACCAAATTTGGGGGAGGGGGAGGTCTTGTAAAACAGGCTTCGTATAACGCGTTACAAAACATTGATTTTTTTATTTTAATAAAGTAAGGAATTAAAATCTAAATATTTCCGTTTATAATTCCATGGCCAAATGGTAATGTAACAATTTTATTTTAAGAGTTTACAACTTGTAAAAAATGTAAAATAGGAGAATGCAAGAGAAGAACAATGGTGGATGAAGCAAAATGTATGTATGAACAGGGCCAAGTCCGGCAAAAGGGCATAATTAAACGTAACATTAGTAGTAAAAGTTGATTAGGACGATTATGAGCAGATGAAGAAATAAAATAAACTTTATTCATTACCCTAATTACAATAGTACCAAAAGTATTTTAGCGACTCTCTTGCACTTTGCGACTTTTAGGTAATAATGATTACTTGGGTGTTATGTAACGATTAGTGAGGTAGAGGGGGGAGGGATACAGAAAAACGTTACGGCGCATTACGTGGGTGGAGGGAGAGTAAAAAATCTTCAATAATTACGTTACGTAATACTTGAAAGCCCCCTAAGATATTGGTGAATAAAATGGTAATATTATTTAATTTAACATTTTGCAATGATAAATCCAGCAGTGTTTTAAAGAGTGGTTTTATGCTATCGTTACAGTTATGCTTTATACCACCCCACGGTAAGCTACTGTCAAGGCATGTCCGACCTGGCCTCACCATTGTTGGTAACTATGGGGGACGAGGCTCACGCTTATATCTGTCTCTGTGCTCTAATGACAAGACTTTACCCAAACTTCTTACTGGACGGCGAAGCGATGACATTAAAGTTTAGTCATTTGACAGAGTCTTTGCAAGTGTACGATCCCGATTTTTACAACTACCTGAAGTCGCAACAGGCCGACGATTTGTTGTTCTGCTACCGATGGCTGCTGTTGGAAATGAAGCGCGAGTTCGCCTTCGACGATGCCCTTAGGATGCTCGAAGTACTTTGGGCATCGCTACCTCAACGAACCCCGTCTACGGAGATATTGCTAAAAGAGAAAGAATTTGATCCCACTATAGAGGAGGCCATTGACCCGCCTCCTTTAAGCCCTTTGGTCAAAGCTCCGCGGGAGAATGCTTACACTAAAGTGTGTGCAATACGACGACAAAGCTCAAGTTTTAGTCTAGCAAGTGTAAAAGCACCCAAGCTCGTCACCACGAAACAAGCTAACCACAGTCTAGATGAGAACGTTACTCGTAAGGTGTCAACTAATAGTCCTTTAAAACATGCAAAGGAGTTTCAAAGCCTGGACGATGCTGCTCTGCATACTGAGACAACGCCAAAGGACCAACTTGAAAGTATAATTGATGGTAGCAAAGAGGATAACTCAAGTGCTAAAATAACTAAAGTGTTGCGAAGTGTACCTGAACACGTCAAGTGTTCAGAAACTCATGACGCAATCGTTACTGATTGGTCAAGCGCTGAAAACTTAGTAAATGGTACGTCTCATACAGATGTTAAAGGTATACCATTAGGGAGCCAAATTCGTTTATTGAGAGACAAAATATCCATTCACAACAATAGGTTTTTCTCGTCTTTAGATAAACTTGACGAATCTACCTTTTCAGACCCTAGTAAGCCGAAGATTAAAATGATCAAAAACTTGAACGAATTTCTTAACTTTGCAACGGGAACGAAACCTAGTGTATGTAAACAAGAGAAACTTCAACGAACGCAATCAACAATAGAAAACCGTAGCCCATGTCCAAAAATAACTTTAACGAAAACATCTTTCGATGAAAATGATTTATCAACTCAAACTGATAAATCTCAAAAAAGCAGCAAAACTAACAGATCTTTTCTATCTGATTCCAACGACGGAAGTAGTCCCGATGATTCACAAGAGTACTATCCAATGACAACTTCGATGACACGTGAACTAAGGCTTGAGCTGGAATATTTGGACCGACAGGTCTTTGGACCGTCTTATATAAACCGACGCAGTATGGTATGCGATTCACCATCTGATTCAACCAGTACCGAGGAGAAACCAACAAATAACTACACAGAACTTAAATCAGAATGTGTCACCGCGTTAGAAGTTCAAACGGAGAATGTAGAATCACTTGAAGCGGTGAAGAAGTCCCCGGTGTTTGAGACTTTCAAATCGAATGCCAGGAGTGCGGAAGACATCTATCTATGGGAGAACCCGCTTCACAGGAATACACCGACAACTCGCACTACTGCAAGCTGTCCTCAAACTCCGGACGAACAAGCGGAATTAGACTTTGATGGCGACACTGGAGAAATTTTTGAAGAACACTCCGGTAAAAAGTCTATAACGCCAATTCGCTTGCTACGAAAGAACCATTCATTGGAACCGCAAGATTTGTATCGAGATAACAGTAAGCATTCCGAAACACATTCCAGTGAATCAGATTCTTCTGAAAAAGACGGCTTAGAGTCAAGCAACACAGGCACATTAAAAAATAATCATCCGTGTCCCGCAACGAATTCCAAGTCGAATAAATTTTTCTCTAACATGTCCCATGAGTTAGAAAATGCAAAAAGGAATTGTGAATCAATCCTAACCGCTAAGCAATCCAATTTGCATAGTGTAACGTCGACGATTAACAATTTCCAAAGGAAATACGAAGTATTCAAACCTCCTGTGGCAAGATCAGCCGCGTTCAGTTCTACGAGCAATGAAAGCTCTACTAAAATCAGTATCAGCAGTCTTCCAGCACCGACTGTTTTCGGGGGAGGCAACCCGTTTTTGATGTACCTGTGTTTGACGGTATTGCTACAACACAGAGATTATGTCATGAGAAATCGTATGGACTACAATGAGCTGGCAATGCATTTCGATAAAATGGTTCGAAAACATAATGTTAACAGGGTATTAAATCAGGCGCGGCAGATGTACGCTATATATTTGAAGCAACAAGCACATAAGACTGGCGATGTAACTACTTAATATTGTTTATTTTATTTAAGCATGAAGATCTCTAACTAATTTGCTCATAAGGTCGTATTATATAACAATTAATTTATTACTGTTAAAACACCAATAGCATATAAGTTTTCTAATTATGTATTTATGTTTTGGCATTCTTTATTACATGTACGCATTTTATAAAATTCTTTATTTCATTTATGTATTTTAATTGAATTATTGACTAGAAAATGTAAATGTAACTATTTTTTTACAAATACAAAAATGCTTAGTTATATGTATATCCAAAGAGACTAATTGTGATATTGTTTGCATTTTTAATAAATTATGATTTATCAAAAATCTGTTAAATGTACATTTAGATTATTGCACAATGTTCATAATTACCCTAAAACTTGAACTTACATGCTACTCTAAAGTAATCTAGTATTTTACAAAATGTTAATCAATTCAGTATTGCTATTATACTACTCCCTAGTCATTTGCAAAAACGTAAATCAATGTTCTGCTGCGACTAAATGACTAATTTTTAAGGCTTTATTCTATATTAAGAAACCTCTATGTATTCAAAATTTAACCGCAATAATAAAAATAGTATGTAAATAAAATATTTAAAATTGATGTTAATGTGTTTTAATCTCATTTGTTATTCAAGGTCATTCGATATTTGAATCATTCTATTCGAACATCAATAATGGACATTACTTGACTTGATTTTCAATGAGTGAAAAGTTTAATAAAAATATTCGCTTTTAAAAATATTCTCGTAAAGGATACGGAGCCCATATGTTAAATAAAATATCTGTAAAATCGAAGTTTCTAAATTGCGGTGTATTATTTTTTACCTACTTTAGAGTTTGGACATTATGAACCGATTAAAAAAAAATATGTTGGGTTCGGTATATCTTGCATAAAGACCTTGAACTCTGGTCATGCATAATATACTGCGTGTCGTTACAAACACGACAATAAATGAACACACGTCTAACGCTACTTGCCAATAATCATAGAAAAATATAAAACGTTAAAAAATCCATAATTAAAAAATATATTTTTCAAACAAACTAATTTGATAAAAAAAGAAACAAAATTTGTAACATCCTATACGACTACAACTGACTGATTCATACATTCAGATACTTTTTCATTCGTTGCCACAACGTCGCATTACAATTCGTCTGCTTCTAATAGTATGTTTTATCCCTTTTAATTCATTCAGCCCATTCATATGCTTTGTGACCTTTACAAATGAATTTTACATTACAGTTTTAAAGGTAAGGATGTTCCAAAAATGTTTGTTTTATAAAATTTAATAACTCTGTAAATATTGATATTTAAAGAATGTAAATGCTTAGTACAATTTTAAAAAGTTATCCTCTATACGTGTGTTCATTTATTGTCGCGGTTGTAACGACACGCTGTATATAAGGGAACTCCTCAAAATTGAGTGAAATATTCGAAATCTGCATTGTATTTTGTTACTAAAAATTTAGTTATTATTGTCGTGCAACGCAATAAAACATCGATTCAATCGTTTTCCTGTCGACCTTTCAAAATGGCTCCCTGAAACCGGACTTTACGGTGTGTGGTTTGGAAAAAATCCCGCGTTGCAAACTGCTGTGCTTCAATAAGTGTATTTATGAAACGCACGTGATTACGCGTTATTCTACTTGCAACGCGATAGTCTGCTTGTGGGGCATCTCCTATGCTCCCTATCAATGGTCTAAAAAAATAAGATTAACAGAGTACCCTACATATACTTCTTTCCCCTGGCCTTACGAGGTGGGGTCGACACAAAATTTCCTTTCCTTCCTCTTCCTTCTTTCAGTCGTCATCTCAATACTCACCCCTTTCACATGCATATCATTCTTCACACATTCCATCCAAATCTTTCTCGATCTTCCCCTAGCTTTACCTCCAACCACATTGATACTCATCACTCTGCTAGTCACCTCACTTTCATCCGTTCTCATAACCTGCCCAGTTACTGGTGCCATTTTCAAGCTTATTCTAATATACTCATTCCGGATCGTATCTTTTCTGGTCACCCCACATTAACATTTGAATCTCTGTCCCATGCATTTTTCTTTCATTCGACTCCTGCTGCCTAACCCTCAGATCCATACAACTTTACAGATCTAACCACTGTCTTATAAATCTTCCTTCTGAGGTTTTCAGGGGTATCCGCGAGTCACGTATAACTCCTGAGACCTGTCACCGTTTCATCCAGCATGCGTTTATTCTATTTGTCACATCGCGCTCAATGCCGCCGTTGTTTTGGTTCAGTGAGCCGAGATACCTAAAATCGGAGCAGACTGGAAGGTTTATCTTTTAAGTCTATATATGAGAAACTGGATGTGCCACCGAAATCGCAAAACAGGTGTTTTATTTTGGTGGCACTAATCTTTTGGCCAACGCTTTCCTGTCTCTCACACCATTTTTCCAGTCTATTCAGGACGTTACATCTTGTCCAACAAGCACAATGGGGTCGGCATACAACATACACCTGGGTGCCTCCTCCTGTATGTCAGTACATCCACAATCGGGGAAAGAGATAAGGGGATAAAACGGATCCTTGATGTAAGCTTACAGCTACATTGAACTTGCTGGTAACGCCAGTTTCTGACCGGACTTGTGTACAAGCTCGTCTGTACATGGCAGATACTTCCCTTGCACTCTTTTCTCTACAAGGCCAAAGTCCATCACACAAGCTACCGAGGCACCCGGTCTTATGGCCTTCTCCATATTAACAAACACCATAAGGAGATTTATACGCGCACGTATTTTTCGCACTGCTGACGGAGTTCAAACATGGCGTTTATTATCCCATGCCGCCATAAATCCGAACTGGTTTGGTCACTCTCCAATATGATATGTTTTTCTATTATCTTCTCCCAAATCTTCATACTATGCGACAAGACTATTGCAGTATTTGCTATAACTATTGCAGGCCTGTACATCACCCTTGCATTTTTAGACGGGCATCTCTGCAATAATTTATTGGAAAATAAAGTCAGTCACTTTAATCCTTCAGCTTATTATACATTTCCATGCTTAAACAGATATACCATACCAGGGCTTTCCATCCTTCAAACCTTGCATTGCCTCTTTCCCTTCATACTTTTTTAACATTCCACTCCAATAATTTTCTTCATTCATCAATCGTTCAACATATTTTGTTCCACCATTCCTATATTTCTAATCATTGACTATTACCTTTCCTCCGCTATTTTCGTGCATTTAAGATGCACACCACCCTAACACTCTTCTCTCGCCTTTGTCAAATAGTCTTTTTAGGCTTGCTGGCTATTGATACAATTTACCTTACTTGCACCTTCCCTTAGGTCATTACATATATGTGCAATGGATATTGCTACAAACAGCAATTCAAATTGCAAATATGCCATTTTAAAATAGCATACAGGTTGTAATAAATTTCTGGATATAAGTTTTGCCATAAAAAAATCATTTGATTTATGTGATAATAATGAACTTAACTTTTAATGAAATAACGTATGTCATTATTTTGGTATCAATGAAAATAAAACAATAGTTGTGGTAGGTATTTTTACATACTTTTAATTTACTTTTTAAGCCTCATCCAACTATTATGTATGCTAACTTAACAATATACACCAGAATATCACATTGTTCACTTACAATTTATTAGTCAAAACAATATACCATAATTTTGTTATCTACAGAACTGTTTTGCTATGCTCTAAAGAATGTTTGAATAGCAAGATGTGATTCGTATTTTCTCTTCTATGCCATAAATTACTTTCTTCTGTTTCCGCCAGAACCAGAGAGAATCATTGCAATGCGCATGAAAATATTAAGGACGTCCAGATATACTGAAATAGCCCTGTAGAAAAAAAGATAAATATTGTAACTTGTATAGAAAGAAACCATTACTTTAATAAGCCTTTTCACTTGTTTCTTATATACTATGAATATTAATATTTATTTTTGAAATTTGATTCAGTAAACACACTTACGAGTTTATGGGATCATAAGGCTGGAATCCATACATTGGATGAGTTTCAGCTCGTTTGATTATTGCTTGTGTATCATACAACAAGAAACCACTGAATATGATCAGACCACCATACAAGCTAAGGGAATATAAACCTAGAAAAATTATATAAATTATCATTCATGAGCCTTAAATATTTACATGACAACATAATTATTCCCCGATTATGATTTTAATCAATGATTGGATTTTTATTTTTTGGATTATTTACAAGATTGCTTTTAATATTAGATATGTTTTAATATATTTGAAGTTATTAAATTAATTTAAATTTTACGAAGTGTTGTAGAAAAGTTTGCATTAAGTACCTGCTCCAAGTGCAGTTGTAGGAGGCAAGAACATGCTCCCAAGGGAGGCAGCAAATACTACACCTAAACCCATTGCAAGTGGGGCCCGCATATTAAGGAATTCACCAGATGGTGCACAGACTGCAATTGTACTTAACCCGCCTACTACACCAGCAGTATACCTAAAATAAAGAAGTCAATCACATAGATGCAGCCATGAAAAAAGCAAATTTAAACAAGAAGTAAAATAAACCTCAAACATTCTATAAAACACATTTATAATTATTTCGAAATGCTACTTTATTATTTTAATATAAATTCATTTGGTATATTAAAGGATATCTTACCATGCAGCACGAGTTAAGATGGGTCCACCCAGGAAACAAATTGGTGCTATTACAGCTCCCATAATACCGGTGTGAACCATCCAAGCTAGCTGTTTGGCACCAAAGCCTGGCTTATATTCCATCCCACGCACAATCATGCCTGATCCAATCATAAGTCCCAATGTGACTATGATAGACTGAAATACAGAAGAAAGTTTAAGATAGTATATAAGAATTTTATTGTCAAATAAATATTGAATTTCCCAATGTGTTCAATAATTTTTTGTTTGATTGTAAGTCCATGTTGGTTTTCAAAATTTTGTTGATGTAAAACATTTGCCTTATAATTAAATATGAACATACCACCCATCCATTACGTGCCACCAAGTTTAGTAATGCAGGGGTCCTAAAAACTGTAACAGCACTTCCTGCTGTAAGGACAAGAGAGCCAGCAATGTACCCATATGTAGCTTTTATGCGGTCTTTCACATATTGAGGCCAGAGACTAAAAATTATTAAAATGCATTAATACAAAAACATCAAATATTATTATTGTTTTTAAATAAATTAAATGCTGTTGGTTTTGTTTAAGATTACTTATCATAAATTTTATCTATATCTAACAGTTATCAATATCAATCAAGGCTTATCATAACCTGCAAACATTTGAATATTAATTATTCAATCACTTACTGTGCTTCTTGCAAAGTACCAGGTTTAGCTCCTGTTCCATAATAGCAAAGAGCAACAAGACCCACTGCTGATGCTCCAGCCAATGCACCTTTCCCTAAACTGAATGCTGTGGGTAGAATGATTTACAATTTAAGCTATAATATTAAATTAATATAAGGGTATTCAATCTGATTAGATACTTATATGGGTTGACACAAAATAATACAATCTCCTCTGAATTTATGTATTGATACTTACACATACAAATATGTGATTACACTAATGTAAATATTTCTCTGTTGGTAAATTTCCATGGATCTATTGTTATTGCAATATATTATACAGATTTATAGTCCATGTAGATTTATATTCCATGCCAGAAGGAAAAACAAGTAATAAGTTAATGGATGAAAAACATGATTGCATACCTAATATAATATATAAAAGTAAAACAGCCTATACATGTCCCACTGCTGGGCAAAGGACTCCTCTATACAGAGGCTATAATATAATATATAATAAATTCAAATGGATAGTGTTGTTGAACAAAAAATCTGAGTGATAAAGTATCACTGACAAAAGTACTTTAGGGAACACAGCACCATAGCCCTACATTATTTATTAGTGGTAGGAATGTCTATGCATTTTTCTCATCTTTCTCATTGGCAAATTATACCTGCATTAAATGAAATCTATATGACCTGCAGGCAGAGAGACTCAATATTACATAAAAAAATATTAAAATTTTAAGATTGTCAACTAAAAAAGTCATCTTTTTATAGCCCAAAATACCTGATACTGTATCTATCCAAAAAATCATATCAAATGAATGGGATCAATAAAATCCATTGCAATCCAGAATTTTGATAAAAGGCACCTGGATCAAACATCCCTAAATTAATACCTTATAAGTCATAGATTACATTAAGCAAGTTCTGATTGTCACACTTCTCATTCTTTTTGGAGGAGAATAATTACCATCCTGCCATTGAAAGTAACTGACTGAATAGACATTCTAAAGTAGGTAGATTACCTTGGAATGTCCATTCAGACTAGTTTAGGCCTAAGAATTCTAGTGAAGGTAAGTACATAAGATAGGCTTTCTTCAACGATGACCCTAATTTTAAGAAGACTAAGGGTTCTAGTCTTCTAAAAATGAAACAGTAAAAGAATATATCATTAGAGAAAACATTTTCTCTAACTATTAAATTTTTGTTATCTTATCCTTTTCATGAAATTTAGTATGTGCGTAGATTCGGGGGCAAAAAATCAATAAAAAAATAAAAAATGTTATAATAGCTCGGTCGGTAATCGGGTGGCCACTAACAAACAGCCACGAAACAGAAGGCCGTGGTTCGTATCACGAACACACACTTATTATTTTTACTTTTATTTTCAATTCCAGATCATTTCTTTCTTTATTTTTTATTTTTTGTCGATTTGTTATTTTGTTATGTTTTTCCCTTTTTTTTAAAGTTCTTTCTTTTGTGAAAAACACCAGTTTATTTTTCTTATTATTACGTCGGTAAGATCGAAACATATTATGCATATTTCATTACTTAGTAATTTGTATCTAAATGTAATTTCCAAAATACACGATTTACCAAAAAAAAAAAACAAACCGAGCAAAGCTCGGTCCTCCGGGTACTGTTATTAATGCAAGGATACATAAATATCATCACAATTTAGTACCAAAGATTCCCAACTAACCATTGGGACCAGCTGGTGCCATTAGCCTCTCCCAAAGAGTGGGTTGTGTTCTTGTAGTAACACGCGAACGTGTTTCACGTGCATAATTCCTGATGACATAATTTTTGGGCACAAAATTATGTGGCACAGGATTTCTCAGAGCATGTTGAATGTTTAGTGCCGACCGAACATGACACATTCGGGATAGCATGATGTAACTGAAAGAAATAATAAAATTATTAAATCTAATATTTAGATTAACGGATGAGTGTTTATTGTACTGCATTATTACCTTATAATTTAATTTAATAATTTATCATATCAAATACTTACGAGTATATTATTCCTCTAAAAACAAAATAAAACAACTTCCGACTTCGTTCCTTTTGTCAACCGGTCCCGAAAGTAAATATAAATAACAATATGCAAGTTTTATGTAATTCAGCCAAATTTAATTCCGCAGTTCACTGTTCTGTTCAATACTGTAGATCAATAATGTATTCTATTCTTGTTGTTCTGGAAATTTACAGTTACAATTTCATTGCATTAAAACCAAAAATATAGTCTATGGTCTATCTATGGGTATCTATAATCTATTATTCAACTCGTAGACAGGGTTGAATTTAGGTGCGGTAAAGTTAAAGTTAATTACTTTACAACGGCCAATATTATACCATTTATAGTACTTTTTCGTACTATCCTAAGATACGGATAGTTTATAGTATGAAGCATGAAATTATAGTACAAATACTATAACTATAGTACAAAATCCTACCCTGCTCATGTATGTTAAATATACTAAAATTTGGACTAGATTGTACTTTTGCCGTGCTAAATGTAAACCTATGCTCGTTCGGAAAACTGATATTTTTTTGTGTGTAAGCGTAATGTGCTGTTAGCCCCTTGGTTTTAACAGCTTTATCGGAAGATATGACACGATTCAAGGGTCAGATGGAGGTTCGAACCCCTCGAGGAAGTAATAAGGTAGAAATTGCAATTCAAGCATGAGACATACTAACATCGAACGAATGGTTTAGAAGAATTAATGTAAGTTAATTTATATATCGTTAAAAAATATTATAAACGAATCAATTAAGAGAACATTAGATAGGTACTTCATACACATTCAATTCATTACACTTAGTAATTCATAGATCAAACGAACGTATCAAGTCCTACTATTAAATAATGATAATAACACGACGTAAGCGGTTCAAAATCGGTACACGGTATCATGTGTAAGCTGCGAATCGAGGACTCACTGACGCACGCTAGTGTTGGGCTATTCTTGTGTTTGTATGTGCTGTGTGCATCACATCAGGCGCGGTGAGGTATCAGCGAATGTAAACCACCGACTTATGAATGTAATAGACGATCGGGACGGTACATTTATGCGAGCGATAAAAAAATTAACAACTACAACCGGATAACATGCACAGCAAAGAGATTGCAATTAAGGCCCAAAGAACAAGACAATGAGTGACAGTACAACAATGCGCTTAGCACACACTACACACATCATTTCCTATAGACAGTTCGCAAAGCTCGTGTCTTTATCGTGTTGTTGTGCACCCGTTTCATTGTTCCCTCGCGAGTCCTTGAGTCATTAAATCGCAGACGTTTTACGTCAATCAAAGCCTTTGTAAAAAAAAAAGAAAAAATATTGGTCCATTGCCATTACACATTAATTTAGTTTCATAATTTGGTGGTGTGAAAAACTGAACTTAACGATATTGTGACATTGACATTTGACACTTTTGATTTTGACGCTTTAACCAAATCACAACATGCGTGTTAAGTAAGGCACATGCGGTTAATTAACCTTTATATAAAACAATTAGACCCATTGTAGATCATTATATTATTAATTCTCTATAATTGGTAACGGTGTATATTATTAATTTTGGAACAATGAAGGATTCAAAAAGCCTAAAGGACTGTAATGATATAGGTTGCACTTTTAGTTTATATTATGAAATAAAATAAAAGTATATTCTAAGATTGAAAAAATTAAAATAAAACATTTCAGATTCTGAAGATGAGTTGTCTCCAGAGTTGCATAAAAAATCTCTTGAAAAATTAAAGAAAATCGACCCTGACTTCTACAGTTTCCTTGAAGAGAATGACGAAAATTTATTAAACTTTGATGATAATTCTGGCGATGAAGATGAATTTGAAGATGAAGATGAAGAAAAATTGCATAAACCAGGTCCTCTTCAAGGTGATAGTGATGAGAGTGATTTCGAGGTATCATTTATCTTACCTAGACTTCTTACAGTGGTGATTCACCAGATATTTTAGACGATGGTTGTCTATATATTTATGCCGGGGGTTACTAAAAAAAACAATTTATTTAATCTATTAGGATGAAGATGCAAAAAATGTACATGGAAAAGTAAATTTAAAACTAGTAGCCCAGTGGCAAACAGAGCTACAGAAAGAGGGAAAAATAAAACTCCCAGCTTTAGTCACAGCAATCAAAGCCTTTAATGCAGCCATGTTGCGGGTCACAAGTTTGGATGGAAATTCACAAAGTGATTTTAAAGTTGAAGGTATGTACAAATAATTGTAGTTATTGAAAAATGAATACAGAATGTATAAATGTTTTTATTGTCAAAAGATAGCAAGCAGGCAATTCACCTGATGTAAATGATTACCTCCAATGTACATCTAAAATATCTGTAGAGTTACAGATACATTTTTCACTTTTGAATGAGTGAGCCCCTTCCTCACTGAATTAAGTGCGAAAGTGGATCCTCGCTGCCAGTTTGGGAAGCCTTGGCACACCACTTTATGATTTGTGCCTGCCCATTTATATTACATCAGATTATTTGGATGTTTAAGATTAATTGTAAATGTTTTAATTCTGTTAAAGTACCTACAATTTAATTAAAGTCAATTTGTTTTCATAGCAAATCACTTGTGTAAAAATAACATAATTTGTGAATTTCCAGGTTCCTCTGTATTTAATGCTGTTATACAAATGTGTGTTTTGAATCTACCTGGCGCTATAAAGAAATATTTAGGAATGGATCAATCTGGAAAAGATCCTCAAAAATGTAAACACTTTGTAAAGATTAAAGGCCCCTTAGTGTCATATTTAAAAGATTTGTTGAAACTTCTTAGTGGAGTAACATCAGAAAACATCCTGACTGTACTACTCAAACATTTGCATCAAATGTCAGTCTATGTTGCATGTTTCAGTCGTATATCAAAGCAGGCTCTGAAGAAACTTATCATGTTATGGAGTAACGGTGAAGAAACCGTAAGAGTATTGGCTTTCTTATGCATACTGAGAATAACAAGAAACCAACAAACTGCACTTCTAGATATAGTGCTTAAAGCAATGTATTTGACTTATGTTAAAAATTCAAAATTTGTCAGTCCCTCAACCTGGCCTGGAATAAACTTTATGCGTAGATCTTTAGTGGAAATGTTTTCTTTAGACTTGAATGCCTCTTATCAGCATGTCTTCCTATATATAAGGCAGCTGGCAATTCATCTGAGAAATGCTATTGTAGTGCAGAAAGTTGAGAATAGACAAGCAGTTTACAACTGGCAGTTTATAAATTCTTTACATTTATGGGCTGATTTAATAGCAGCAACATCAAACAAACAGCAATTGCAACCACTACTATATCCATTAGTGATGGTAATCACAAATACAATAAAATTGGTTCCAACTCACCAGTACTATCCTCTAAGATTTCACTGTGTTGAAATTCTCATAAATCTTTCCAAGGAGACCAATACTTTCATTCCTATTCTTCCATTCTTAGTTGAAGTAAGTTTATAATTTTATTATATTTATAAATTGCATAAAAGCCCTCAGGTATTGATACAATCAATCAAAGTTTTTTTTGGACAAAATTTTTAACTTTTTAAATTAGTTAACTTAACATTATGGCATAATCAACAGGCTAATATGGCTGCAAAACCTTTTTGTCAAAGAATATTGATTGTATCAATGGGGCTACCTTTTATGACCATAATTTGTCTAGCTAGACAAATTCAATTATTAATAAGTTCTTGTGTTTATGCATTAATGCATATCTTTAATTCATATTGATTCACATCATAATCCAGATGTAGAAATTTTAAAACATATTTAAGGTGTTTAAAAGTTTCTAACACTAACCCAAGAGCTTCTTCTGGTTCAATGGTGCAGTTACCTTAATGGTATGTGATGGTGCTCATATGCAGTATTTTAAATGGGTTATCATTTTAATTAATTATCATCATTGGTCTATCTATATACTACATTGTCAAACTTTGTTGTTTAACAATAACATTTCATATTTTATTATTATTGTGGTTGTTAGTTAAAAAAGATAATTCCCAGGGCTACTCCAATAATTGTATTTTGTTTTTTTAAGGTGCTGACAACATATGACTTTAACAAAAAGCACAAAAAAGTTTCTATGAAGCCTTTGGACTTCTCATGCATTCTCAGATTGGCAAAATCACAATTGTCAGAAAATGGTTTTAAAGATGCTGTGATAGAAAGGATATATGCACTTTTGTTGGAATATACTGCTAATGAATCACACAATATTGCTTTTCCAGACATAAGCCTGCTTGCAATTCTACAGGTATGATAATTTTATATTAAATAGGCATGAAAACTTCTCTATATTAATGGCAGGTACTTCATATACAAATATCACACTTTATAAATCGAAGAAATAATATATTACAGTACCATAATAATGAATCCAGATCCACCATTCTATATATTTTTTGCAGTCATTATAATAATTACCAGCAAATTTTTATCCACTAGCTGCTTGGCTATCACAGACATAGGAAAGAATTTTGTAATAATGATGTAACTAATGAGTTCAGGTGTATGTAATGATTTTTTGTGTCATTGCAGATTAAACAATTTTTAAAAAGTTGTAATGTTTCAAATTATACAAAGAAGTTGCGCCAATTAATGGAAAAAATCGAAGAAAATTCAAGATTTATTGAGCGTGAACGTTCCAAAATAAGTTTTGCTCTTAGTGACGAAAAGTTGATAGTAGCTTGGGAATCAAATACCAAATCTAAAGGTACACCACTTTACACATTCTTCGAGAATTGGTATAAAATTAACAAGATACAGAAACGTAAGAAAGTTTCTAAAAATGACGAAATAGCTGGAGAGCTGCCAATGATTAAAAGAGCAAAAATATTTGATGCTGGTGAATTTGAGTTGAAAGTTGAGTCTAAGTCAGAAAATAAGGGACCTATGGTGTTATTCCCATCTGATAGCGAAGATGAAACTGAAAATTTAAAAATTGGCGAAGATGATAAAGATACGCAACCTAAAGTAAAAAAAATACGAAAGAAAGATAAAATAAAATCCAAGATAAAGAAACCTATACAAGCTGAAGAGGACATTGCTGATAAAGAAGATGTGGTACAAGATTTTAGTGTCAGTGATTGGTAATAAAAGTATATCATAAATGAAATATTTTTATTCAGTTTAATATAAGCTAAATTTATCAAAAAGTAATATCACTATAAATTATAAAAAACAAGTTAAGGAATTCCTTGTAAGAAGTATGACCATTGAACTTTTGGTTCAGCTGGCTCATGACATTCTATGGTCAAAGATCCTGTTGGAATTTCTTTCCAGCCATCAGTCGGTCTCGCAGTTAAATAAACTGCAACTTTTAAATCCTGTGAGAATAATAAGAATTTTTAATATAGGCGATTTTTAATAGACGGTTCAAAAGGTTGGGCAAATAGCATCCACCGGTTGCCCGCGACTGTAACAATGTTGTTGGTCCGGTGGGAGGGCTTTCAATGCTGCGTCCTCTGGTTCATCGTGGTCATTCGAGGACTTTAAAGCCACGTTTTCTCTAAGGCCCAACATTCACGTGGTGTCTTAGCCACTTTTGTGGGTTAAAGTCGCTCGACATTTGCCTTCTATTCACACTACTCAGTGGTGAATAGTAAGTCGCCCGAGGAGGTAGTATTGTTCAGTGTCGCTTAGATAATAATTATCCGGAAGACTGTAGCAAAACGTAACTTGCGAGCGGACTCCCACACGAAGGTTTTCGTACCATTATCTATAAAAACGGCAAAAAAAATCATGTCTGTTGTGTGGGAACACCACTCCCGTTTTAGGTAATCAACACTTAAAAAAAGGTAGTGGGTTCGAGAATATTTGCTACAAAGGGACAGGTCAAGTTGAATACGCAGTCTTCGAAAGCGCCACAGATCTTTCGAAAATTTCACGAGAATGTCTAGAACCAATCTCGAAATACTTTTAAATGTGGCTGGGCCGGCCAGTTTTTTCGATTTTTTTCTTTCCGTGACAATTAAAATATGTCGTGTATTTTCAACTCGAAATCTTTTCTATTTCATGTAGTCTCAACAGCCTGCCATCCCATCGCGATGTGAAGTATCCCACAATAATTGAGAATGTTGATAAAACTCGATGAGGGTCAATACTCTTTCGCTGGACAACACTACTGCCATTGCCGAACACAAAGCGACAAGTCCCGCGGCCCGCATATATCGTAAGCGACGTCGGGAGATATGGCGTGGGATACGTAAATTTCATGTCGAGCAAAACAGAGTTGCGGGTCAAATGTCCCCTAATAAAGACTCAGCTTTATTCCCTGTCATTTGTTAGAGCTATGAGGCCTACCCATTATCATTTCAACTTGCAAATTCGGAGAGCGAGAAAATAAACTTCGTCAAATTTAATAATCATTATAAAAATTATTCATGAGTTCTTATTCCGCCATTTTCTTTAAGTAGAAGTGTGAAGATGATTACGAATATACGCTGTTAGAGCCGCAGTTTATCGTTTTTTGTAGCTATATCCAAAATATTTCTTACATAAATAATATTTATAGAATAAAATCTACCAAGAGTAGAGCATTTGGAATAAAAAGAGTAATCAAATCACAGATATAAAACTAGTTGTAATTACAAATAAGTTTCTCATTATAGTAAATGGACAAAGATCTGGAGAAACCAAGTATGTTATATTTTTTGAGTAAAGTACATTTGCGGGCTATTACATATAATATCAATTATCTGACCGAAAATCTTTACCTTTTTCGCTTTCACTGTCTCATAAAAAGATTTCACGAAAAATTCGTCTCGATCTACATTCAGTTTGAAAACTCTCGTGTCTTCGAATACATTTTTGAAGTTAATGAGGGCGTATCCTCCACTTTCTACCACAAAAGGCCCTTGAGGTTTTGGTTCGGTAGCATTTCCTTGAATATTGTACCTGTAGATAATTTATGTTAATCCAATTCATATAACATCAAAGCATTGATATTATATGAATTGGATCCTCCGCCGCCATTATCTTCTGTCATTCATTTTCTCATATATCTAGTTTTTGCAAAATCTACGTTATTGCTACGCTCAAGCATATCTTATGTAGAACGCGTGGTCACAGGGGTACTGTCTGTCTGTTAAAGTAGTACTGTGTCTTGTTTTTATTTAATGGCAAAGGAGGCAAACGAGCAGGCGGCCCACCTAACACACCAGAGGAGTCACAAATGCGCTACCGGCCTTAGAGAAAGGAGTAGGCTCTCTCCTTGAAGCTCCCCAAGTCGTATCGGTCCGGCAATATCGCTTGCGACAACTCATTCCAAAGCTTGGTTGTGCGTGGCAGAAAATTACGTGAAAGTCGCATAGCCGTGGACTGCCAAATAATAAGGTGGTAGCGATGGTATTTCGTAGTTTGATACGTCGTACGGTGGCGAAATTCAGCGGTAAGTAATCCGAACAACTTCTCAGAGAACTCCTCGTAATACTATACAATACTACGACGTCTCTACCGTATTGAATAATTACAACTAAATGACATTACATAATACACTTACACAAATTCACCAGCACTGGGCGATTTCAGAGAGACTCTGCTAACCTGGCAACCAAGTTCGGTTGGCTCGAACCAAGCATTAAATTTACCTTTCTCGAAGGGACCCAATGTAAACACTTCGTCAATAATTATTGATGGATGTGAACTCTAACAAAAGATCACACACATAAGAAAATATTGCATATACTCAAAGTCTCGGCAGTATATTACGTAATAATTTTCTAATATCCAATATACAGCGTGTCGATACAACCGCGACAATAAATGAACACACGTTTAACGCTACTTGCCAATAATCATAAAAAAATATAAGCGTTAAAAAATTCCATAATTAAAAAAATATATTTTTCAAACTAACTAATTAAATAAAAAAGAAATAAAATTTGTAACACCTATACAACTACAACTGATAGATTCATACATTCAGAGACTTTCATTCGTTGCCACAGCGACGCATTACAAATCTCTCCTTCTAACAGTATGTTTTATCTCTTTTTAATTCATTCAACCCATTCATAATTATGCTTTTTGACCTTTACAAATAAATGAACTTAACGTTTCAGTTTTATAGGTATGGGTGTTCTAAAATTGTTTGTTTTAGAAAATTTTATAACTCGGTAAATATTGATGTTTAAAGAATGTAAATGTTTAATATAATTTTAAAAAGTTTTCCTCTATATGTGTGTTCATTTACTGTTGCGATTGTAACGACACGCTATATATATTTTTTTCATGTGCATACATTATTTTTTCCAACTACCTTAAAAAATTTATCAATCTCGCAGTTTGTTAACTTATTCTTATATTATACTCGTTATATGTCACTTAAGTAATATTTTTTAATTTATTACCGTAGCATTGAACTGAGTGGTGGTATCTGTTTTGTTATGCGCCCTAAGACGCAGAGGAATGCGAGTACCAAGTGGTGTAGTGAACTCAAGATTCTTCTCTTTTGCTGGCAAACATTTAAGTGTCACTCTATATATATATGTGCCAACTAACGGATTAAAAACTTCTAGGTATTCTTCAGTCTCTCCAACCACAAGCGGTGAATACGTTAGAGTTAGTGTTGCCTAGAAACAAATTTATATACCTGTATTTAGTCACGGTTTTTAAAAATTTCATTTACCAACGGCTGCAACATTAGAAGTAAATTAGCGATTAATTTGCATTGTTCAGTTTGAAACAACTAATTTAATAAAGTATGCACACGTCTCCCAGGGCGACCCTAATTATTAATATTTTCTATAAATGACTACACACACAGGAATTTCAGTTACCCATGATTTTTTTTAATTAAGTAAATTGAGGTCAAAACATCACTGATATACTTTTCCCTAAACTTCTTTCATCATTCTAATAATATGTTAAAGTTGTTGAAAAAGTTTTATAAAGTGGAAGCACGTAACACAAGAGCACCTTTGAATTCCTGTTGATTTTTATTACATCAACGCTGTCCAGACTTTGACAACGAATATTGAATTCTGCGTCTTCAGCGAGGGGATTCGATATTGCGAGATTTTTTTGTACGGATTCTCGTGCACGCGACTCAAAACTCATTGTACCCGTAATTCCACTGGGCGTTACCGTTATATAAATATTATAAAATTGGTATTCAAGCGTCTCTTCGTTGGTAAATGTAACCTGCAAACGAGTATACGTAAACTTAATTGTAAATAAAGCAAGGTATGAAATGCTCAAAAATTATACGGTTGCTTTGTTTGTGTAAGGACAAATTTTTCCCAATTATCTGCTGCTTTTCGGTCCATCCCGACCGTCCATATACAATATACATGGTATTTTATCATATTAAAAATCAAAACTGGCCAACACTTGACTGCCATCCCACTTTTGTTTCCAGGTTATTGTTTATATGTATGCAAAAAGAGACAGACAGGTTCATCAGAATCAAAAGAAGTTTCGAACAGATAAATGGAAAACGGCTTACTCTAATTTGAAATTAACATTATTTGTAGCTGAACAAGTTTCTGATTTGTCATGTAACAAGAATCTTCAGCGTGTGGTTCAATTGTCATGGAACCCTATGCAAAATTATTGTACAGGACGAATTTTAAAAATTGCTTGAAGCACTTGATAAAACTTTTTTTACCCAAAAAGTTGGCAGCGAGCAGGCAACACTTCATGTAGTGATCACCGCCGCCCATGGACCATTTTTAAAAGTGGACCCCTATTGGAAGACTTACAAATATTATGTGATCGATGCCGAGTAGCAGTGCAACTAATGTCATTCATTTAGCAGATTCAGAATGTATTTTGTGGAGAAGAAACTATACATAAATCAACAGACACAATGATGGATCAAGACGAAAGTTTCAATATTCGATCGGAGTTTTTAAAATCATTAAACAGGCCTGGTTTGCCTCTGAATACATTGAAAATAAAATTTGGTTCTTTAATTATAATGGCACATGACTGATATCAAACTACTTTTTAACAATGTTATTCATACAAATCCTAACTGGAAAACAAAAAGGAAAATCGGTATTCATATTAAGGATCGTATTGATTGCGATTTCCTGAGAAATTAACTTATAGCAAGAAAATCAAATAAAGCTCTCCCTGAACTAGAA